GAAAGTGTCTCTTGTGTTGGGCCCATGTGCCCTGTATTGATCCTGCACCACAGTGGGCTCCCCAGCCCATGAGTGATGCATTTGTTCTTGCAGGAATTGAAGGGTTTCATCAGTGGAAGGATATACCGGCAAGGAGGTTGTTCAGAGATATCCACCATTCGAGGGACTGCAACACTGGTGGAGAAAGCGAGAGGTGCTTCACAAGGCTGTCGGGTTGGTACATAGTTGATTGTGAGACAATGTTGTAGGCAACGCATGTGCAGCCTTGTGAACAAGACCACAAAAGTCGTGGCCACCATATACCCCAGTAATTGAAGGCACAATTGGACCATGGAGAAGGGTGCCTGTCTGACCTGTGTAACAAGGTCACAGATTGCCCTGAATCTTTGTGGCAGAAGGTAGGCTCTTGCTGTGACTGAGTCTAGCAATATCCCAATGAACTCTATCTTTTGTGTGGGCTGTATGATGGTTTTTGCATGTTGATAAGTAGGCCAAGTCAGGAAAAACATTCCCTGGTAATAGTTGTCATGATGATAGTTTGCTGATAAGTAGGACCCTTGATTAGACAATCTTCTAGGTAAGGGAAGATAATGATGTTTTGCATCCTGAGAAAGGCCGTGACTATGGCTAGAGTCTTTGAAAGAACTTGAGGGGCTGTAGAAAGGCCAAAGGGGAGGATTCTGTACTAATAATGATCTTGTACCATGACAAATCTGAGGAATCTTCTGGGGGACAGATGGAGTCACATGAAAATATGTGTCTTATAAGTTGAGGGCTGAAAACCAGTCTCCCTTGTTCAGAGCAGGTATGATTGTTGCTAAGATCACCATCCTGAATTTTGTGTTGTGAAGAACTTGTTGAGTTTCCTGAGATCAAGGATTGGTCTCCAGCACCCTGATTTTTTGGCTGTGAGGAAATAATTGGAGTAAAAACCCCTTCCCTGATGTTCTTTGGGGATGGGTTCTATAGTTACTAAGGTAAGTAGCTTCTGCACCTCTGCCCTTAACAGATGCTCATAAGAGGAGTCCCTGAAGAGGGACGGGGTAGGAGGATGGGTAGAGGGCATGGAAGTAAAAGGGATTGTATAGCCCGATCTGATAATTTCTAGGACCCATTCGTCTGTGGTAATTTGGGCCCACTGATGGTAAAAAAGGCAGTGACTGAAGGTGAGATTGGACCACACTGGACTTATGGGGTCCCTGACCAAAACTTCAAATTTGCTGTTTGTTAGAAGTCGACTGATTTGTGGAGGACTGGTACCAGAAACTAATGGCACCGGGGAATGAGAGGCTCTAAGCAACTCGGACAGGGATCATGCTGGGGAAGCTCTTGTGGCTAGAGAGCCTTTGTAGGGTGATGAAGCTGCCCTACGTGAGGGCTTTTGCTGTACCCTCACCTCCTCTGATTTGTCCGTTGGTGAATGAAAAGACTTTTCCCAGAGAATAGTCTTCAGTCACATTTCTCGGTCTTTTCTTGCCCTTGCCGTCATATTCAGGCAATGAGGGCATTTCTGTGCCACATGAGACTCCCCTAGGAATTTGACACATGAAGCATGGCCATCTGAGGAAGGCATTGAGTCTCTGCAGGAATCATATTTTTTGAAGCCGTGAGAACCTGGCATTGTAGCAGATAAGTAAAGCTGCCACCGTGGCTGCTGCTTTTTTTCTTCTTCTTTTGGCAAAGTCAATGTTGAAAAAGGTCAAATTAAATAAAACTATGAAGTAAAAAGCTAGAAATAATAGAGGATTTCAATTTTTCCTGTCAGGAAGAAGAGCACTGCTGTGAACTCCATCTTCAGCCAGTGATGGTTGAAAAGGAACTGACAGGATTTGCGCCATGCGTGTGTTCCACGGCCTCCGAGGGTTTGGGAGGGAGGATGCGCTGAGTGTGCAGGCACGGTGCGAGGGGCACTGCTACCAAAAATCTCCAATCCCCGGCACAGGCATGCACCGAGACCTGCGTGGAGCACCCACAGGGACACCACTCAGTGAAGAGAGCTTCTTCCAAAAGAAGCCTGTAGTCTAGACATAGCCCCAGTCTCATTGAAAGGAGTCCAGATCCACTCTATGGTTGGGCAGAACCTTTAATACTGCTGGTGATCTTAATATGGCATAGCTGTTAGATGACACAAGTGAATGATGAACCAATGGTGTGGGCAAAGACCAGATCTGACCATATTGGCACCTCCAAGTATGCATAGATTGTAGGGTCCCCTGGGATTGTGTATCTGACCTTTATTACTGGGGGACAAACAGAACAGTTCCTTGGCAGTGCCTGTTTTGGTGAATGACAGTTGTTAGTAACAACAGCTCCTCCTCCATGCAAGTTGGTATGGGTATGTCTACACTACAGCGCTAATTCGAACAGCTAATTCGAATTAGCGCATCCAGACTTAAAAACTAGTTCGAATTAGTGTTTTGCTAATTCGAACTAGCGCATCCACACTGATTGGACGCAGGGGCGCATTTAAGGGCGGCTGAAACCGGTTCTGGCAGGGGATCAGGTCAGTAGTTGCTTTGTGTGGCTGCTGTCTGAGGCTATCTGAGGCTCGTGCTTAAAGGGACCCCCCTGGACAGCCGGTTCTCAGCTTTTCCGCTTGCTTGCCTACCTCGCTGAGGGACAGCAAAGCGTTTTTCTCTGCGCCCGTCTGTGTCGGTGGCTCCCTTTGGGGACGCCGCCGCAGGTAGCAACATGGAGCCAGAGCTCGCCCTGGGCTTTCTGTTGCAGTTTTTGGACCCCGGGGCAGACCCGG